TCGAACCTCCCCGACAAGAGACAATCCAACGACCACCAACACCGCGATCCGGCCAAGTCAGTCAAAATGGTAAGGACTCTATCCCCTCGTTATCGTTTGAAAGCTGCGTCCTTCCTGTGCAACCGGAGAATTTTGAGAGAAATCGGTCAACGGGTGGAGGAGGGCCGATATTTTAATCGGTGGTGAGGGCTTGAATGCAACAAAATCGTCCCGATAAAATCGACATCGACCGCCGTTGAACACGACTATTTTTTTTCCTAAGAAGAAAAAAGAGCGAGAAAGACGAGAGAAAGAGTCGCGAATCCACAGTCGATTATTTGAACGGTGTGATATCTTGAAAGAAACATACTCCCCGCGAAAGGACTGCGATCGGTGCGAACGAAAAGTTCTTCGCGATTACGTCGATGAGACCTCGTCTACCATGAAGCTTCACTCGATACCTTTGCTGCTTCTATCTAAAATAGTCAGCACCCGATGATGCTCGATAAATCGATTTCGAACAATCTTCTTCGATGAACAGGAATTTGGAGCAGCAGCAGCAAACATTTGTACCACGTTTTGACAGACGCTGATTATATCTCTTTTGCGCCCTTCAGGTCAACGTTCCCAAAACCCGCCGGACGTACTGCAAGTCCAAGGAGTGCCACAAGCACACCCAGCACAAGGTCACCCAGTACAAGGCTGGAAAGGTGAATAGCGACCCCACGGTTTCGAGATAATGACAGCACATGCTAATCCAGATGTGATACATAGGCCTCCCTTGCCGCCCAGGGTAAGCGTCGTTACGACCGAAAGCAGAGCGGTTACGGTGGTCAGACCAAGCCCGTCTTCCACAAGAAGGCCAAGACCACCAAGAAGATCGTCCTGCGTCTGGAGTGCACTGCCTGCAAGACCAAGAAGCAGCTCGCTCTCAAGAGATGCAAGCACTTCGAGTTGGGGTACGCTATATCTTTTATTATCAACTATTCGCGCCTTGATCATGATGCTAATTTTATTTCTTCTCTACAGTGGTGATAAGAAGACCAAGGGTGCCGCCCTTGTTTTCTAAGCTTGCGATTTTCTTGTTCGGCTCGGGTTTCCTGCATTGCATCTGCTCCAATACTTCCGGCGGGGGGCTTATGACATACTGGCAATGGAAAAAAAATGAAATAGGAATTCATATTTAAGAAAATCATGACTCCTAGTTTATGAGTCTCTTCACGAATCTCTTATTTATCTTCACAAGACCGTTCGACTGTAGGGCATCGACTAGACACTTGTGTCGTGGAAGTACCCTGTGTAGAGTGTCTACTATGTAGATACACAGTTCAATTGTGGCTTTCGACCAGACAGTCTTATCTGCTTACCTGCTTACGTTTCGATGGTAAAATGCTACCGATACGTGGTGGATTATGACAGGCGATACCCAACCTTGACGATTACTAGAGTTCGCAGGTACTGATAAGCTTTCTAGGATAACATTTATTCCATCGTTATGATGTATAGTGCGCATCTATACTCGCAGCACATGCAGGTATACAGACATGAATCGCATTAACTATCTTTTCAAATACCCAAACTGAAGCAAGCTTCCGGTTTTGATATACACACGCCGATTGCTCGATGTCCTCGCCTACCGTTAATAATCCTTCTGCATGACCTTCTTGACCTCGGGAAATTCCGTGTCAAGATCGGCTTCATATGTGACACCGTTCGTCCCATCGACCATGGGCGCGATGTACTCTTTCCGACCCGCCTTGTGCACGCGTCCATTGATCATGATAATATTGAGTTTTGAGTGATCTTGCAGGATCTCAATGTCGTCCAGAGGATTGCCATCCACAAGAACACAGTCTGCATAATATCCGGGCTTGATCTTACCCAGCTCATTTTCGCGCATGAAGAGCTTCGCGACGCCGGCCGTTGCAGAAATAATCGCCTCGTGGGGGGTAAAGCCCAGCAAATTAGTGAAAAGGGCAAGGTCACGGGCATATGTTCCGTGTGGAGTCCAAGCGAAGCCATAATCCCTGTACTTCAGTGTTAGGCCGGGATTATTACAGGGGTCAAGCGGAAGTACATACCCTCCCGGAAGCACAACAATCCCCCGTCGGTGCATCTCACGCAACCCTAGGATTGCTGTATCAAGTTCCGTCTTGTAGCCTACTTGCTCGGCTTTGGATCTCGCGTATCCAAAACGTTCTCCATCTTCCAAGATGCTCACTGGGAAGTTTAGCGCGGGCACGACAACATGTCGGGTCTTGTTGTCTTCCAGCATATTCATCCCTGCACAAATATTAGCCATGCCCAAGACATATTGATAGATGGGTCAAGTTCTTGCTCCACTCCCTTACCCTCATCATCGACATAAGAGGCGTGGAATATGACATCCACACCGTGTCGGGCGCACATGGTCACCGAGTCTCGTGCACGGGCATGAGCGCATAGCCTACGGCCATGCTTGTGAGCCTCGTCCACGCATGCAGCGGTTTCTTCGTCTGTGAAGTAACAGTCCAGAGCAGAGCGAACTTCCGTGATCTTCGTATACCTCGGATTAGCTGAATGCACTCCAATCCAAGTAGGAAAGGAAATCCTACTCACCGCTTCTCCGGACATGCTGAGTTTGACCTGATCGACACCCAAGTCGACATGGCGGCGAACCACCTCTCTCATCTCATCTGGACCATCGGCGTAAGCTGTAATTCCCGGGACGAGGTCGCCATCTCTTCGACAAATCTCCTTGGCGTTGGCGAGATAGCGAGGCCCAGGAATGTCACCGGCGTTGATAGAGTTACGAACAACGACATCTAATCTGTCCTTTGCAGACGCCGCTCCCCAGCACCTTGAATACGGATCCGAGATTAGTATCTGGGCATATTGGACATGGATCGCACTGTAGAAACGTACATGGTATATCCTGAGTCCAGGTAGCATTGAGCACTTTTGGCGGTGAGGAGAGTGTGTTCCTCTACTTCCAATTCGCCCAACCGACCCAAGTCACCTCCATTCCATGAGAGGTGAGTGTGGGCATCCCCCATTCCAGACATTAAGGTCCTGCCTTTGCCATAGAATTTGCGAACTTTGGGGTCCTTCTGGAGTTGTTCTTTGTTGGGGACGATACCGACTGCGGTAAACCGCTCTCCTATGCCACGTAACCACCAGCGTTAGACCAGGCACTTCAATGGCATGAATATTCACGGTCTCAACTAACCTTCAATGAGAACATCGCCACGGTAAGGCTCTTGGCCTGTCGAGTCGATGATCTGAACGTCCAGAATCAAGATCTTGGACTCCGAATGGGTGCCGAAGATCTCATAGTTCTTTGGCTTCAAGTTTTCACCAAAGTCAATTGCATCAATTGCTTCGATATTTCTCGGAGGTCCTTTGTATGGCTCAATGTTGGACATGGATTTAGTCCAACTGGGTTGGGTGATGATCGATGGCGACATGGTGACTGGGTTTCAGGAATGATGTCGAACAATACAAAGTAGACTTGGAGTGAAAAGAATCCTGGGATTGAGACAACGTAGGAATCATCGCAACATGAAATTTCAATTTGGAAGAACCCCCCTCCTGAATTGATATGCGGTACCTTAACGCTCAACTACTAACACGCCCCAGTAAGTCCCGCAGATCGTTAATTTGGCAGGGTTCATTGGTGCCATAGCATCAACTCGCTGGGAGAAAGAGCAGCAAAATGAAACACGATGCATCCTACTAACCTTCTCTGATGGGTCCTAAAGGATTTGTGAATTTGAAATGCCCTTTTTTTTTTGTTTCCGCTAAACAGGGGGCTACCTTTGGCCCCAGCAGCCTTTCCTGCATGGAGTAAAAGACACAGGAGCGGTCTCGTCAACTCGAGGGGATCCTTGTCGACGAACTCAACAGCAGTTGGGACACATGTCGTATTTCTCCACTCGGTAACTTTGCTAGTTACTTCCGACAAACCGCCCTAAGAGGGCATGCAGATGCCAGTGCCACTTTAGCGAAACTGAAGGCTCGTATCCGTACCATGTGTGGCTGCGGCCACCAATGTTTGGTGTGCACTTGAGACCAAAAAGTTAAAATTGACGAGTCTGCCGCCCTGCCCCTCTCTGTATGACGAATTCAATGGGCGATCCACCATGAACTGGTACAGGACAATGGAAATTATTGTCTCATCATTATGGTGTCACGTTGTGTGTATCGATTTCGATGGAACTGGCGGTAGACGATGTGGTTGTAGTGATCATCTGTGGATTTGACGGTCTGTTTCGGACCGTCTCCCCGTCAGCAAAGTGGCACTAATAGATGTTCATCAGACGGAATAGATGGATACCATTCCATTCTGAAATTAGTTTGGCGGAATAGCATTTCCATACTAATTAATAAGGAAGCAAACAAGTCGCTCGTGTTGTGGGAGAGTGACGAAAAGAGAGGTGGTGGGGGTTTTGCATAAGAGAAGAAGAACAGAAGAAGGGAAGGGAAGCAGACGAGCAGAAAGACGTCGTGCGCTGTTTGTGTTGACCACTACCCCTCCACGTCCTTTTCTTCCTCTTCTCTCCTTGCTCTTCTTCGCCATCTACCACATCCTCGTTGAAACCTGTTTTTTCCACCATTGCTATATGGGAACACTGTTCTACCCATACTACTTTCATAATCTGCCTTGCAGCAGCCTGTGTACGAAATAAAAGCATCACTATGGCTCATTTGCAATGGAATAATGAATCTTCACTTGACTGGAAGCTACCTTACGATGGAAAACCCCGTATTCAGTCCTTACATAGGCTCAATCGCTCAAGTGACTTTTCTTGTCTCGAGGGATAACCCCGCAATAGCTTCCCCGTATTCTGCAACCTTCCCCGGCTTTGAACCCAATGGGCGCCTCTTATCGGCAGTCCTCCGAGTGGCATGTTCAGCGTTACACACACTCGGCAGGTCGGACATCGCCCGTTGCTTGACTGCCTTCTTAACGATGATAGACTGCTTTTTCTGGTCGCAGGGTTGATGGCTTGCTCTCTTTTTTATGCTGGAAACTCGATAAGATGACTCTGTGGTATTCGGTTGGCGTTGCTCTTTTTGCCGCAATTGGCACGTTTCTATTCGTGAGTAGATCTACTGCCCATGAAACGTGGGGCTTTGAGAGATCCTAATCACCCGTGGAGTAGGGCTTTGATACGGGTATTGCGACGACGAGTAAGTGCGGGCTGGTCATTTTAACCAGAGCAGAAGGACTGAGTAGATTCCTTAGCAATCGCCCATGAAAGCTGGATCGATTATATGGGCCACCCCTCAGAGGGGCTCACCGGTGCTGTATGTCAAGGCTATACATACACACTGGCATGGATGATGTCTAACTTCTCCAGGTCGTCGCTGTTTACATTGCCGGTGAGGCAGTCGGTGCCTTCACTCAGACGTTTATCGGAGACAAACTAGGCCGTCTTCGATTTATGGAGATGATGTGTATTATTGTCACAATTGGGACTGTCATTCAAACAGCGTCGGTCAACATTGGGATGTTCCTTGCGGGTCGTGCCCTGGCCGGATATGCTGTTGGGTGAGTGAATTCTGAGGGTTTCACGACAGGATAAATCGCGAAAGTTTCATATCACTAACCCTTGGCCATCAGAGGACTAGTTGGCACCGTACCCATCTACCTAAGCGAAATCTCAGATCCTCGCTATCGGGGTCTGATCGGAGGGATATCAGGCTGCGGTATCTCCTTTGGAACCATGGCATCAAATTGGGTCGGATATGCATGTAGCTACGCCTCATACGGACCGGTACAATGGAGATTGCCTTTGGGGATTCAGATCCCGTGGGGTATCATCATGTTCTTTGGCCTGCTCATCTTCATGCCTGATTCTCCTCGCCATCTCATTCGAAGCGGCAAGGTCGAGCAAGCGCGCAGCGAGTTCAGCAGGATACGACGGGATTTGCATTCGCATGAGGTGAACGAGGAGTTTATGCTCATGCGTACGCAGATCGAGTACGAAATGGAACGAGAGATTACTTCGTACCGGGAGATCTTCAAGCTTTTCAGACACCGTGTGCTCGTGTAGGTTATGAGAAGCTATGCATGTGATAATACTAATATGTCCCAGATCGATTGCTGTTCAAACAATGACAAGTCTTACTGGTGTGAATGTGATTCAGGTATGTTGGTTGTCGTGATCAATTAACAGAAGACGACTAACGAGAGGCATTCATAGTACTATCAGAGTGAGTCTCCTCCAACATATAGGAGACCTCATAAATTTAACTGGCATTTGCAGCAATTCTATACAAATCATTAGGCATCGGCTCGCACTCCATTCTTGCCTTGGCCGCCGTATACGGCACCGTGGCCTTCATCATCAACTGCGCGACAACAAAATACCTTACTGATCAGTGGGGTCGACGAAAGTACGTCTACAGTGGATCGGCTGAAAGTAAAAAATGTTGACATGTTCTAGAATGTTAATCTCCGGTCTCGCGGGGATTATCCTTATCGAGATCTATGCTGCTGTCATGCAACGAGAATTCCAGAACACCGACAACCGCGTCGGAAAGGGGTTTGCTATTCTTGGAATTTATCTATTCGTGGTTGCCTACTGTGAGTCTAGTCTTACGTGTCTCACGCGTCTTAAAAAGAAAATTTCCGTCGAAGTTTCGTTTATCTGATGTGGCGATCTGCAGATGGTATGCTTAACAGTACGACCTGGCTATACGGCGCTGAGGTTCTACCTATTGCCCTTCGAAGTAAGGTGATGGGCTTAGCAGCGGCGTCTCATTTCATCGTCAACGTCGCTGGTGAGATTTTTTATATCCCGACTAAGTCAAAGGGCTTTCTAATACTTTGTCTGCAGTCACCGAAGCCGGCCCAAGTGCGTTTGCCAACATCCACGAAAACTACTACTACGTCTTCGTGGTGTGTTCCTGCTTCTTCCTGGCCGTTGCCTATCTCTACTTCCCGTGAGTCACTCCTACAGAAAGAAAGAAGAATTGCTATTATGTGAGAAACAGTCTGACATTTTGAATGTTTTAGTGAAACTAAACAGAAGACACTGGAGGAAATCGCCGCTGCATTCGGCGACAGGGTCATCGCGCCCGATAATGTCGCCAAAATGGGTTCGCAGCATGTAGAGGTCGCTGGATCAGTGAGAGACACTGACTAACCAACGCGATTTTGGTCGATTTGTTTTTTCATTGACGTACTGGCCTTTCATGTCTGGTGGCATGTTGTTTCCAATGATCACGAATTCAGAATTTCTTCATTTCAGACCAGTACTTGGTGAGGCTTTTCAAAACCGGATCATATTTCAGATCGGGCTCGAAGCCATTCTTGTGCTCGTGTATTCCACACCCAAACGGTGCAGTAGAGTGCAGCATGTAGTAAGGGTTTCTGTTGAGTAAATCAAGACTCTTGCCCTGTTACTCTATACTGTCTTTTTTAGTCCTCCCCGACTTCGGGCGCTGGGGGATGTCTGGAGTGACCCCTGACTGGCTGGTTATCCTTTGGGTAGGTGTCCTTTTCGAACCCCCGGTCCTGCCGAGGACTCAAACCAAGATATAAGCCCTGGTAGTAAATTTAAAGCTCTAAGTCTCAAAGAGACAACGGAGCTTCAAATTACCCCGGAACCTGACCAAATCCACACTGATCCATTGTGAGGATTCCAAACCCGTCCCAGGGCACAGAGGAAGGGCCCACCCAGTTCTGCGGGTGAAGTTGCGGGAAGAAATTCTCGATCGGAGTACCATATTCGGGGCTTGAAGGATGCGTTGGGGTTGGGGCCATGAAGGTAGTGGGAGGGGTGACGACGGATTCGGCGTTGAAAATCTGCTGTTGTTGCTGGCGGGAGCAAGCAACATCACTTTTGTCTGTTAGTTTCTCTCGCTTTATTTGGGTATAGGAAGGGGGAAGGGGGGTGACGTACATAATCTGTCGTAAGATTGGCACTGCCTTGCTGCAGAATGCGCTGCGGTTGGACAACGCAGCAAAGACATCCAAGGAATTCCATAAAATATCCTTGATTTCGACGAATTCTGACTGGCTGCTGGGATTCATCATAACGACAGACAAGACCACTGCCGAATGAAATGCGTGGAAACTGCCTAGACCGCCATTGTACCATTTGTATTGTGCAAACTGAGACGACTCGTAGAGCGACTGATAGATAACCAGAGATGCCTTGGCGGATGCCACACACTTAGCTCTGGCCGCGCAGGTATCGGGTGTGATTTCGCCCTGAAGATAACGGCAGAGACTGGGGCGGAGAAGGAGCAGGAAGAGCTGGTGGATATAGCTGTAGAGGATGTTCAGGTTGGCAAGGTGGTGGGTCGGCAAGGGTCCGCGGCTCGTGTCAAACTGGTATTGCGCATCGCATCGTTCCTGGACGGCGAGGATCTCGGACTCGAGTTGCGGCACGGTCAGGCGTGGTCTGTAAGGGAAGCTGAAGATGGCCTCGCAGATCATCGCGGAGATCTTGTAGAGGCGGAATTTCAACAGAAGATAGGTCATTTGGGTGGGGCGTGTACTGGGTTCTGAGCCCGTGAGCAGGTCCACGTCGTTGATATCGGCTGGTAGCTTCACATCCTGGGCGAGAAGCCGTTGGTCGAGACTGCCAAAGGAAGAATTTTGGATGGTGTACAGCATCATGAGACCAGCCCATGCTCGTCGTCGCTCTTCCCGCTCGATAGGACCCAGCGCAAATCGCTCGGGGTCGATGTGGCAGCCCATAGAGATGGCCACGTGGTGTGAGAAGCCCAGCAAGGTCCAGGTCGGCAACCCTCGGTGGGTTCGTGCATAGCAGATGAGCACAAGTGTTTGGAGGGAGTTGATAGAGTGGCGCGATGTGACACCGTCGGCAGCCAAACAGCGCATTGCCGCGGATCGGTATCGCGAGGAGAGCACCTTGATGTTCCGGCTGACTGTCTTCTCACGGCCCAGGTCGGACAGTAAAAGGTCATCGTCATCCAAGGCTGTGACGGCAATGCCCAGGATGGTGAATAGCAACGCTAGCCATGACAATGACACGCTGCCAGCGTCATGGCAGAATTGCTGGTATTCGGCTTCGAAGGTCAGGTCGTGTAGAATATGGAAAAGCTATCAATCACGGTCAGCACGGCTTGCTATCTTCCAAGAAAGGAAAGCGAAACACACCGGAGAAAAGACACGGAAATAAACATCCTTGAGAGTATCACAGTATCGACCAGGAGGGAGAATTGCCAGCAGTTCTCCTCTCGAGACACTTCCATTCCGAACCAAGGGGATTTGCAAATCGTCGTCGTCGTCGGGGATCTCGGCATCGATATTCTGTAGACAATCACTTCCGGTGGAACTCTTGACCACCGAATTCCACTGCGACGCTGAGGGCAAGTAGCGAACATAGCCCGATGTAAATGTTTGGAGAGAGCCCACATTGCCCAGCAATGGCCCTCGCGGCTCCATCCCGATGGCGCTGTCCGATTCGGACGCGCTGCCGGTCGCGCTCGGAGTCGTTTGCGGTGACAGAGGATCGCTGTTGCTGCCAGCGCTACTGCTGATGCCCTGTGAGTTGGAATTCGAATTTGAGCCGACTTGTTTATGGAGCTGTTCCTCCAGATTGCGGATCCGGGCGAGCAGTTCGTTATGCACCATGGTGTCGGCGGTCGCGGTCTGTTCGGATGACAGTCGGGGCTGGCCTAAATAAATGCAGTCTTCTGCACCGAGTCCTCTTCGGACGCAGGTCTGGCACGGTCGTCCATCACGAGAGCAGCGAATCTTTCTGGTGCGACATGCCTGACAGCTAATAGGTAATCGTTTGCCTCCTGGACGAGCGATGGAGGCCATCGCGAGTGGGGAGAATCGATCGATGGAGGTGGACAGTGAATAAACAAAGGCTTATTTTCACACAATCTCCAGCATGTATTCCGCGTGTGTGGGTGTGTGATAGAGAAGAGAAAGAAAATAAAAAGGCGGATGGAAAAAGGACAGTGATAGGCAGCTAACCGATCGATAGATAAATGCAGTCTGACACCCAGGAGGTGCTGGGGATAAGCGGGGAGATGATGCTTTAAAGTTGGACGGTTCGGACGGCGATCAGTTGGAGACAAATGATTTGTAACTTGTAAGGGGGAGGAGAAAAAGAGGAGTTCAGACGATCTTCTGGTAGAATGTTTTCTTTTTTTTTTTGCTCTTCTCTCTTCTTCTCTCACGATGATGCTGGAGACAAGAGATAATTCAATCGAGTAAAACCCCCGTCCTGGATGGAACTAGATTAATATACCCTGTATAGGATCTTCCCTCCCCCCCTTTATTTCTTTTTTAACGTCTTCCCCCCGACTCAGACTCTCCAGTCCCATGCACGATTGCACACCGAAACATTATCTCTGCGTCAATAATGATGCGTCTTCTAGAATGGCAAAGAAGAAAAATAAAATATGAAATCAAATAAAAGCATGAAAACTCTACACCATGCATGGCGCCTCCAAGAGGTGATCACGGTGATCAAGCCCATCAAGGTTCCCCCCAACGCTGATCCCTCTGCCATGCGTCGAGAAAGCAAAAAAAAGAGTTTGCTCGTCGATTCCATTCCAGATGAGGGAACTGCTGGATCACAGATGGGTATGACAGATCGTACGGTCATGGACCACTTTTGCCGTGGACCTACTAAATATGCACATACATGATACTCCTCCATAGTGAGATACTGTGTCTGGGGTTGGACCCATTCCAAGGCTGAAATCTCGTTTCTCCAGTTCTTGAGAATCTGGGCTTGTGGTGATCAAACCGTACAATTGTGGATTATGTAGAGATGGACTTCTGCCGAGGCTCTTTTCCGTCACTTGTAACCTTGCCACTGCCATCTGGCATGCATCCCTGTACGGAGTAAGACTAAGCAAAAGCGTGGCACCGTCGATCGCCCCCTTGCGTGCTGCCTCGAGGAATTAGCTTAAGGGGGGTTGGACACAGATAATTATTATCAACCAATTTGAGCGTGCTGGCTGCTAAGTCGCTGACCGGGCGCTTAGTACGGATCATGTGCAGGGTTCTAATTGCTGCAAGTTGGGTCCAAGTGCGAGGTTTGTCATGCAGCATTATTGATGGAGCCACTGCCTTACCTGTAGTAATAGTAGAAGTAGATTCGGTAGAGAATAACTAATAGTGCGCGATATGATGGTGGCATTGGCCATGGTGAGAATGGCAGAATCCCTGCATGGTTGACGACACAAAGTCGCAGTGCACACTAGTCGCGCGAATAGACCAACACCTCGCGAAACCGAAATGGATCCGATCCTGTTGTCCGTAGCCGACCATCGGAAAAGACCAGTTGATCATCTATTTTGACACCCGATCTCTCGAACCTGCGTCACGGCGTCCTCCCCAAGTTCCAAACACACGATACACGACGGAAAACCCCGTTCTTACTCTCAGACCCCAGGGCCCAAGGCACGGGGCATGTAGCACGACATAGTGCATACAGATGGAAATATTAGTTGGGAATAGCACCCCATCCTATCACACGAATCGGGACTGGTCCGGGGAAAGGTTGAGGGCCGTCCGTGAGCCTGAGGATCGACGTCGATCCTTCGAAGGAAGGGCTTCTAGAAAACTTCGTTCGCATCTGCAATGACAGATCATAGGATCTGTGGCGGTGGTTATTGGTAGATCTCGACGGGACACGGGGGCTGACGAGAAAGAAAAAGGCAGTTCAAGAACGCCATGCAGCAACAAGGGATCGTTTGAGAGGAACCGAGGGGGATTACCGACTGCAGAAGAATTCGAGGAGATGATAGGACGAGGCCACGGCTCACTCTGCATCTCGTTATTCATGCCTGTGGCGATGAAGTCCTCCCCGACTCAATAGTCGGACGCCTCCAGAACCAACTGCACGCGTGGCAAATGACATACGGATAGGCGAGATTTTCCAACACATGGCAGAGTGTAGATCATAGATGTATCATATCTGGACGATGTGGGATGGATCCGAGTACCTGGACTGAGGCTGGAAAGTTGAGGCAACTCGGCGTAACTCGGCGCAACTTGGGGCTGCAAGACACTCGAGATTTTATGTGGGTTTTTCTTTTTCCACAGAGAACAAGTGGGATCCAGCAGAAACAAGAGGTTGCCTTATTTGCCTTTTTTTCTTTTTTGCAGCACGTTCTTGACCGTTGTTTTTCCTTTTTTTCCAATTTTCTTTTCTTTTCTTTTTTCTTTTTTTAAGGAGAAGGTTGATTATCCACACAAAGGATCCATGGAACAGCCATCTGTCAACCGATGGAATATCCAGGGAACAGCAAAGGGGCAACCAGAGATGGAGCCAACGGGTCTTGATGGCATCTCTATCAATCGGATTCCGCGAATGTTGCCCCAATACGAGGGAGCCTGGATGGGCAACAAAGAGGCAAATCAGGGACCAGGATAGAACTGCGCCTCGTTTTCTTTGAGTCATTGTTGTATCATAGAATGTTTTTGCAGCTGTTTCAGCAAAAAAAGAAGACGTAGAGTGAAGAGAATGCGAGATTCCCATTGATCCGATAGTGAAGCTGTCTTTGTCTTGTCTTTCTTTGGCTTCACCATCGCGTTCACGTGGTGTTCTATCCTCGTCTTCCACCTTCTTAACTTCATCTCGTCCATTTCACCTTCTTTCGATTTCATCCATCTTCCATGACTGCCAATTACACCATCTTCATCTGCTACTGTTTCTTCAAGACAATACCCGTGTCATATTGATATTGCCCCTCCACCGTCTCGTTTCATCAACATTCGACCCTGCTTGTTGACCACCAACGCCTGATATCCTAGCGCTCACAATCCTTTGTGTCTCCTGATCTCGTCTACATAAATATCATCACCTTCGTCTCATCTCTTCGCAGAGCCTCAAGGTGATCGATCCTCTTTACCTTCACTCTTGTTGATGTAATTTCGCCCAGTTCGCCCGCGCTGATCGTCAACGTCCTGTTTTCTACCCCACTTTCTCTGCGCCTCCACATTCCCATCAGTCATCGCCGAATTCTTTGCTTCATCATTTCATCATCACCTCTTCTCTTCTCTTCTCTTCTCCCCTCGTCCTTTTTCCATCTTTTTTTCAACACCCCTAAACTCATCCATCTTCTGTCCATTCCCCCATGTCATACATATACAGAGAACGCGATAGAGAGCGTGATTGGGACGAACCTCGTTCTAGCGTCTCAATCAAGCGTTACGTCATTCCTCCTGAAGATGAGCGAGAGCGCGACTATCTCGTTCGCCGCGAGGATCCTTATACCGGGGATCGAGAACTGATGGTTCGGCGCTCTACCGACCACCATGACGACCCCGTCCTCGTCCGTCGTTATGAACGTGACGTCGACTACGAGCCTCGCTATCGCTCCGAGCGAGATTACTACGAGCGTGAGTATACTGAATCCCACCATCCTAGCCGCCACTCCCGGTCTGTGGACCACCTGGCTGGATCGGAGCTGTCCCCTACACCCATTGTGATCCCCCAAGGCCAGCCGGTAATAATTCATAAAGCTCGAGGCCCCATCTACATCAACCCGCGCGAATCCGACTACGATGTTGTCCACCGATCAGAGGTTGATAGAGACCCCCACTATCATCACCGACGTTTCCGCGAGTATGAGGATGACCGTCGCCTTCGCCGAGAGCTTAGTCCCGCCGACTCGATCTCCCAGGCTAGCCGTCGGCGTGATGACCAGGACTACAGCAGTGATGACAGCATGGTTTATGTTCGCAAAGAGACCCGTGAATACGACGACCACCCACATCACCGACGCCACCTTGCTGAGGGTGCTCTGGTTGGTGCAGGTGCTGCTGAACTATACCGTAGCCATCGGAAGAAGGAAGGCGAAGAGGTGTCTGATGGCGCGGGTCGTCTCGGCCGAACCGTAGGCGCTGGTGCTCTAGGAGCTGTTGCCGTCAATGCGGCCTCGCGGGCCAGAGACTACTATCGCAGCAAAAGCCGGCACCGTTCTCATTCGTTTGATGACGACCACGGCTCTCATCATCACCGTCGTCGCCGCCGCCATCGTCATGGCCATAGCCATAGCCACAGCCGTCGGAGTCGCAGTCGAAGCCGCTCACATTCTCACTCCCGAGCCAAGACCTTGACAGAACTTGGCCTGGGTGCTGCTGCTATAGCCGGTGCTGTCGCTCTCGCACGCAGTAAATCAAAGTCAAAAGATGACAGGCGCAGTCGCTCCCGCCGTCGTACCTCTAGCAGGAGCAGGAGCAGGGCAAGGTCGCGAACAGGCGATGGCGATGGTGACGATGACGAGACTCGAAGTCAGTCACAGCGGAGAAAGCACATGGCGGGAGCCGGTCTGGCAGGCGCCGCGGTAGCTGGCCTTGTGGAAAGGGCCCGCAGCCATTCGCGTTCTCGCAAAGGTGAACGGTCTCGGTCTCACAGCAGATTCCGCCAGGCCCTCCCTGTCGTGGCGGCTGGTTTAGGAACAGCAGCTGCCACCGGCCTGTATGAAAAAAGCCAGGACCGAAAGAAGGAAGGCGAAGATGGGTCTAGGCACAGAGAACGGCGGCGATCCAGGTCCAGAAGCAGGACCCCGTCAGAAGTTTACCCAGATCCTTCACGAGACTCAGCTGGCCTTATCGAGTATGGCCGCGATCCAGTTCATGGAAGCATCCCAACTGCAAACTACTATGGCAGATCACCGTCTCCGTCCGGCTATTACTCCGATGCCACCGATCCCGTGGCTAGTGGTGCTGCAGGATATGGCTCTTCAAGAAATCGGGACCGTAGCCGCAGTCGCAGCCGCAGCCGCAGCCGGGGTGTCAGATACGGCAGTACATCGGACTCAGACCAGGACAGTGGTAGACGACGAAAGAGTCACCACAGGTCTCGCGACCTAGCAGGAGCTGCCCTGGCCGCCACAGGAGCGGGATATGCAGCTCACAAATATTCACAGCGGAAGGATCGTAAGAAGGCTGGTCAGGATAGAGACAGACCTGGTAAGGTCTCTCCCTACTATTGAGAAATATAACCCGCACGTTCGTGTATTGACAGAAACCAGGGTATGATGACGATAATGTGAGCCGGGATCCGTACGAAGAGTCGTACAACCCCGAGCCCTACCCACCTTCTCCCCCTGCCGCGCCTCAGCAGCAAATCGATGATCGCCAGTACTACCCTAATACCAACTACTTTGCGCCGCCCCCGAGCTCAGCTCCTCATCCGGCGAGCAATGGAGCACCGTATCGCCCAGCAGACTATCCACCACCTCCTGGAGCAGCTCCGCCCCCGCAACCGTATGGGTATCCGCCTCCTCCAGGACCAGATCCGTATGCGCCCCGGCCCCGAAGGGCAGATGAGAATGTGAGTGCTGCACAAAACTGGCCCTTCCCCACTGCTAAATACCACACACAAGATGGTGGGTCTAGGGAACAGAGACTCCTAAATGATTAGGCATTGTTGCTAACTGCCTTCGTTCAGGTCTAGAAGCATTCCCTCCCCTCGGAACGCCGCGTGCCAAAAAACGGAGATCACGCGCTGTTAGCCATCCAGCCCTGCCAAAATCTGTTTCTTTTGACCTGAATTCGGGGACCTCGCACGATCGCCAAATGGACCCGGGTTACGAAACTGATGATAGTGATTCAACGATTGGCTCATTGAAAGGCGATCGTCAGCATGGCTACCATCGCCGCTGTTCTTCCGATCCATATTCTTCAAAATCCAATACTAAATCTAGACCCGGTGGTGGATCTTCTACTACCTTGGATGCTGGTAAAAACATCGGATCTGACTCGGATTCAACTATCGATTTGCCGGCTCGATTCGACTCGCAAGGTAAACTGTTGCCACAGCGGGAAAATGATCCAGTGGTAGATAGATTGGAGGATTTGATTAGAGATATCAGTAAGGTGTTATTCTAATTGTCTTTTCTGTTAATTTTCCCCTGTCCCTTTGAACGCAACTAGTTGTGTGGCCTTCTGCTTTATGTATTCAAAAGACTTGAGATGACCTGTTATGCTGTATTACATGATATTAACGACGTTGTTATGATAAATTATGGTCTATTTCGAAATAAATTATGTGATTTCCATGGGCATGGTATTTCTTCAACTGTAGACTGTCTAAGCTTGGTTACTCTTGAATTTAAGAAGCTTGTTTTATATTCCGCTCATTATAATTCCCCGCATTAATAAGTACTCTTCTAGACCCCTATCTATAATATAATTCATAAGCCCAGGGATTTAATAGCCAGATATGCTGGAGTAGCCAATCTTCATGCCGGAAATTAAGGTCTTATGTACATGCATACATACATTGCACCCAGTCAAAGCTCTCTAATCAAACAATTCCGAGAACAAGACAAAAGGAAGACAAAGAACCCAAGTTTTTAAAAAAGGAGGGGAACGCCAGGCTGATGCATAGTATCAATTTTTGATCTTCCCGCTCTATGCATGCTTTTTCTGTGCAGTCAACTGTTTTAGACAATATGTCAAATCATCACATCATTTGGGGAAACCTCCCCCCAAAAGAAGGGTAAAGTATATTCAAAGAACAAAGGGAAAGAGACTTGAATATCTCAAAATGAATGGCAGCATATAAATATATAAACATGTAGGATTTCGATCTCTTTTATCAAGGAAAGAGAAACCAATTGAATCATAATATCTGAAGTCCAGGGCTGATTAAACAGAAACACTGGCGAGTCCAATCGTGACAGGAACCACCATTACATTGATTGGCCCCATTCCAGAGGCCCAAGACAGTAAAATTTCATGAGAAATAATAGAAAACAATAATGAGGCAAGGGTATACAAGAAGGGAAGAAAGAAAAGAAAAAGACAAAAAGAGTAAAAAGCTGTTCGCTTGCTGTCGTATAATCACAGATAGAATATAATCAATCAGGCCGTAAAGACTCGTCTAGTCATTCCAGATGCCTCTGGTTTGGTCTCTAATTTTTCATCGTCAGGTATTACAAGCCGAGGGGGAGGCAACCTCGGCCGAGATAACATTGTCATTGATATGGCGGTATCATTCTTCCCAGGAGTTCCGTCTGGATCATGATTACCATCTGGATCATTACCATCATCATCGTTATTGCCATCATCATTTGGGATGACTTGGGTTTTGGAGCTGACAGATGCAGAATAATACCGGGAGCTCAAAGGTAGTTGATACTTGATCACTCCGCGGACAATCAAGTCAAAAGGATGTTGTAAAACCCGCTCCCACCGTTCAGTGCCACCTTCTTCCGTTTTGTTTCCGGGTCGAGAAAGACGTATTTGTCCCTTGGAGTTGGATGTCAGATGGTTCCACGGGGAAGGCTCAAAGGCAAGAGGCGAGTCAAAACGAAACACTCGGCCAAGCAGCATTGTTTGTGGATCGCCGGTAGGGTCGTTCGGAATGGGATCAGTGCCCTTGTCAACACCTCCGTTGCGGATTTTCAAAGACTGGTCCGATGATTTCGTATCCGCAAGACATCCCGTACTCCCTACGCAGCGTACAGCCTGTGCCATCTCGGCACGTTTCCTGCTATGCTCCACGCGTGGAAATTGTTCCGAATCGTAGGCACCGTCACGCCACAAACTTTCTGTGCCCACAAAACGACTCTTGGCAAAGATATTGACGTCCATATCATCAACTGCCACAGGAAAAAGGTTCGGATTCACTGCCTGAACTTTCAAATCGAGCATGATTTCCTGTTCCGAGGCGAGCACATTTTGGATGTCGAGGACCTGGACGTCGATGAGCGGTTTGGTAATGGCGATGACAAATGAGGTGATGCCCCCAATAATGAGGAAAAGCATGAGACAAATTATGAGACAAGCGCCGTATTTTGAAAAATAGCTGCGTTGGCGCTGTTGCATGTATTCCATTTGCCGTAAACTCGCACTGTTGGGCCGTCGGCCGCCATGGCGGCTTCGTGTCACGCGGGGCGTACCAACAACCAAGGGTGTTCGTTCATCATCGGCGCCTTCTGCATCGAAATCATAACCGTACACATCGCCTGCCTTCTTAGAGTTGCTGATGGTACGATAGTTTGGGAGAGTGCGAGACGAGCCGTTGTGCCTGGGCTGTCTGAATCCGTTCCCAACGAAATGTCGAGGAGATTTAAGGTGCGGCTGGGGCTGCGGGAATGGTGATTCGTTATCAAACAGTGATGGATACATGTTGTTGCGCCCGTATCGCTTAAATTGATGATGGCGAGGGGTCTGTGTACCGGTGCCGTCGGCTCTCGAAGGACCACGGCCAGCTTCATCTCCAGCGTCGCCATCCACGCTGCTATTGTAGGTATTGTTCGTAAATTTCATGCTTCGTTTACCCGTAACACTGTGATTACGCACCCGACCAGCGAGCTGATCAACCTGGCTTGCCATGGACGTGGCACTGGGTGTTCGAGAATGATACCGTTGCTGCCGGACAGGGTATGGATCTGGCGGGTTCGATTCGTACACAAACGTTTCATCGGAATCTGACACATCGGCCTCGTCGACCGCACTCGCAACTTTGGCTTCGAAGATGTCCGCCTTGGAGGAAGCAGTGCCACTCGACAGGGCAGCGGGTTTGCGAGGTCGTTTCTTATCCTTTTTCGGGCGAATGGTTTCGGTGCTGGGTTTCATTCGAAGAGTGCCACCATCGACACGACCGGTGTTGCCTCGATCACCGGTTGCCACACCCAACGAGACCTGAGGGATTGAACTCACAGTCTCGGTCTCGACAATCATGTTTCGGACAGACCCATCGGCAGGCTTCCCACGGGCACCGCCGCCACTCAAAGACGTAGAAGACCGTTTCGGTACTACAGAATGTGGCCTCTTGTGTCCCTGAGACGAGGCACGCCGGCGGGACTTTTCCACCGGGCCTGAACTCTTGTTCCCACCACTATCGCTGCCACTTTCGGTATTGTTCTTCGAAGCCCGGGGCGTCGTATCCTCATCAATCTTTTGCAAGCGTGACTCGTCCACTGTAGGCTTATTCAAAACGGTATCGGTAGAGGGTGTGGATGGATCGCTGGTCATTTCTTCAACCGTTTCGAGGGCGGACCCGGACCCATTGATGCCTCTGTTCACCGCACGCGGTGTGCTCCGGTCCCCCTTTGATGTATGATCCTCAGTTGGTGGTACCAACGATCGTTTACTCGAGATATTCGGGAGGGCGGTGTCCTGATCCGGCCTCCGTGTCGCGGCCCATAACATATTGGATTTCTCGGGACTTGGGGCATTGGGGGACGCCTCAACGGGCGGAGGGCTCAGTATAAGCGGCTTGCAAGGCTGAGATAGCGCTCTTTGCACGGCAGTTGAAGAGGGAACGGTGCCTGACCCAGGATTCTGAGCAGGGACAGACCGAGGTGGGCTGCAATCGTGACTGCTTTTGCGAGAACGGGAGGGGACACGATGGGTCGAATTCGAATTTGTGGCACGGAGTGAGGTACGAACAGGCGATGTTTCACGGGAGGAGATGGTCGAGGAGGTCGTTGAGGCTGGGGCAGAGATCCCAGAAGCAGATGGCGGAAATTTGGGCAACTGGGACATTATGGGAGCCTGGGATTTAATAAGGGCAGTCGAGCGTGGCAGTTCCATCATGTCACTCTCACTAGCGGATCGCCGAGATGCAGAATCATCTTGGGCCACTCTGGATTGACCAGAGGCACCATTGGAGTAAGGCGACCTCTCGGACTCCGCTGCCATGGCCTGTATCGAGTCAGGATTTTCTGACACGACTTAGAACAAGTCAGGAGACCCGAGAGGAAACCGGGAAGGGGAGTGAAAAAAAAAAAAAAAAAGAAAAGAAAAGACGGTAAAAGTACAAAATGAAAAAAATAAAAAAAGTCTTGCACACAAAAGGAACAAGGAAAATATGGGGGGAGAGTCAGACAGTAGAGTTGGGTGGGAGCCGATGCGTTGGAAGATGATCTTCTGTCGCACAAAACGCGTTACACGGATGACAGAATAGAAGGACGAATAGACGCAGACCACATGCTGGTGGGGATGGCAAACGGGAGATGACAGGATCACAAAAAGAGGAGGGGATAGCTGTAAGGTGAGGGGGGCAGAGGGGAGGGAGAAAGGAAAATACTATAAGGGAAATAAGCCACTGCAGGCGGACTGCAGACAGACAATCGAATTATGGTGAGGATGTTCAGGAAACGTTAGAACAACCCAGGCAGAACGTGGCCCAAGAGTCCCAGAATTTGATCAGAAGACAATCCCGCGGAATGTCCAGTCTAGAACATCCAATCCTTCTTCTCAGCAGGGCCAAGGGTTGTTTCGTCAAGCAAATGCCGCGGTGGTTCGAGTGGTGTCGATCCGGCTCGACAATAACTTCGCTCCAGCGGGTGGTTCCGGTTGGGAACGGGGAAGAATAATCCAGACACCCCAAATATTACTCCGTGAAATGTAGTAACGTCGGTGGTATGCAACGATGAGGATTATTGTCCTTGTGCCGCAGTTGACCGTCGAAGCAAGGACCCCAAAGGACTTGACCGCAGTTAAAGAATTGCAGGGCAGGCGACGTTGACTGACGGGCGCATATGGATCACATCCACACCCACTCGGAGTCCAGGGGAAGAACAGATACGAGGCCCAATAACAGCTGCCCACGTCAAGAAGCTCGATGGGTTTTAGTTTTTAGGCTTTGGTATTTCTGTCGAGTGTCGATTGATTTGATTGAGGGCTGAAGACCGGTGGACGGGAACAATAAAGGCCCGAGGACTTTCAAATGATCTGGGGGAGAAGAGAGGGTCCACGGTGGACGGGAACGGGGATGGCGGTGAGGCGAGGATGAAGATGGGGTTAAAAATGATGGTGAAATAGAGAAGAAGAAGATAAAGGACAGAGACGAGGAAGATGAAGCAAGAAAGAGAAGCAAAAAAGAGAGAGAAAAAAGCACGTAGGAAAACCGAGGAATGAAGGTCGAAAAGTGAATCTGAGCGGGCGTGACCGGGCTGTGACGGGATCTGGTAATATTACCGTTCACTTTGGCTGCGGCTGGGGATAACGGGTGGTCACATTCGGTAATTACCGACGGTCATAATGACCTCATCCATCGCGAGGCAAAATGGGATGCCCTGTATTCTGGATTATTGTGATTATGATACAATTGTTGCCATTTGTGAATCTATATATAATAAGCCACCCAAGCCTATACCTATCTATGAATCGATGGTTAAGACACCCAAGACCCCCCAAATTATGGAACAGGAACCAAAGTAAGTAGCAACCAAGCAAGAATGTTATATGGTTGCTTCGCCCGCAAAAGCATCGACGCCCTAAGTTGTATCCAAAATATCATCACGTCTTATAAATATCCAAACTTACTTGACAGAAATACTAGTTCTATCAATGGGCGTTGTCGAGATTATTAGTCAAGGACATTCATGAAACGCCCTGCAATTTATACAATTTTGTACACTCGCTTCGCGATATAGAACGAAGCAATGGCAAAGAGAATGAGCCCAGCAGTAACTGAAAAAGTAAAACAAGTTAGCCATTATCATAGATGGTGCAAAAGAAGAGGGAACCATACTCGACCAAAACCAATCTAGACTGTCCACGTCCTGGCCAGGGACCTTGACGTTCATTCCCCACATACCACAGATAATGTTCAAGGGAAGCACGATTGTTCCAAGAACGGTGAGCTTCCCTAGCACATCTGCCGTCTGTTCCTGTCGCTCGTTCATCAAAATGTTGATCTGTGCTAGGTAGTTGGAGTGGGCTCGCGACAATATGCTTTAATGGAAGTTCGGTCAGTTATTGCTTGAAATCGGGCAGAGAAGATCGAGAACATACGTCTCATAGTAGGTCAAACTACTCGTCATAGTCATGATATGATCCTGGATATCACCCAGATACAAGCCAATTTCTGACTTCGGTGCCACTTCCCACTGCTCATTACACCGTTTGGCAAACCCCTTGACAACATCCGCCTTGTTGCTTAGAAGCCGGTACATACCCATCACCTTCTTGCGAGATTCACCCACTCGCCGCAACATTTCACCCGGGGTGAGGGATGTCGATACACCGTCATTTCCTTCCTCCTTGTTGGAAGACGTAGCAGTCCGCCCGAGAGAGTGCATGTGCATAATGTTCTCATCAATTTCGTCGACTTCGTCTTCAATGGCCTGGATGAGTGGGCCGAACACATCAGTGATATCATCAATGAGTGCGTAAGAAATCCAGTCGGAGCTCAGAATCAGATAATCCATAAGTTGGCGGATACGTCGCCGTACGTTGGCAGGGTGGGGTGTCTGAGAGAAATGGAAGGATATCACACCTTCACGGAACACCACCACATACATGTTCACTGGCTGCAGGTAATTCTCGCTACTGGGGTCCTGCTCGAAGGTGCGGTAATTGACAAAGTAGTAATTCCTGAATAGCTCCACCTTCTCTCGGGCCTCCTGCATCATAATGTCTTCCGCTGTAAGCGCGTGTATTCCAAATGCTTTGGCGATTACCCTCATTTCGGCGTCTGTCGGGCAGAGAACATCGAGCCAGAAGGCTGGTCGGGGCCCATAACGCTTCGGTTTGGACTGTTGCTGTTCTTTGAAAGCCGGCATTTCTGCAGATAGTCGTGCTTCTGATACACGTGCATCCGAAACGGCTTCGCTGATGATTGAATGCGCGCGGGGCTGCTGCTTATTTTCAGTGGGGGTATGGTTGCTTTTGATATCGTAACTTCCATTGTTGTTCTTCATGTTGTAGTGGTGGTTAGCGGCATATGTCCCATTAGATGGAGTCTTAATTCCATTGCTATGAATGTCGGTACCAAGAGTGCTCTCGCGGATTGGATGGTCGGTTTCCACGTCGTCCTCGTCCGACGAATCTTCCAACTCAGGAGGTTCGGGGATGAACAGATCGCGGAAGCTGCCTCCAGGCTGCACCAATTCCGATATTGTCTGGGCATGGATGGTGCTATCGAATTCTTCGTTGAAATAGGTGAACCGGTACGGTACCTCATCTTCCTCCCGCCGCCACGTGCGATATTGGGGTCGCAATCGACCCTCGATGAGCATCGGTTCACTAATTTGTTTCGTACGGAAGTCACCATGCCGGTCCTCTTTTTCTTCACGACTCCATTCGTCCAGAATAGAAAGGTCCGGCCACTGCCTATGCCGCCTCCGCCTACGGCTACCATCCCGAGATACTTGTGGCATATCCTCTTCCGCCATTTCTGACGGCTCCGCAATCGGGAGGCAAACATCTTCCTCGACGGGGAACGCAACGGTTCGACGCCGGCGGAGGGAATCCTGTAACCCTGGCCGGGAGGACGATGGAGAGGGCGGGTCTGAATGGCTGTGCTGCGTTTCATCACCGTCCATATCAATTACCATGTCATGCGGCAGAGAGATCGAGCCTCGTCGATTTTCGACAGATCTAGCCAACGAAAAATCAAATTCCGCCCCAGTGACCACTGCATCGTCATATCCCATCTCTGGACCCACCTTGGGTGAGGTGGGCATGGAAGGTGGATTGTTAATATCATAATCGCGATCCGGCTCTGGGATCATAGGACTGTTATGGCGAGGAGAACATCGTGATGAGATTGTATGAACGGATGCTGGTCGAGGACGAGATGGGTAGGGACTCGATCGGCTATCTGCCCCGTATCGAGGCAGGTTGGAAGTGTGGCCCGAAGAGGGCCGCATCAGCGGTGTCCGATCATCCACCGCCTCAGAATCGTCACTATCATTCCCTGTATTGTTATTTCTCATTGCCGAGAGAGGATTGAGAGAACCTCCGTCGCCAGAGCGGAAGGGTGTTGACGAGGAGCCAGGTCGAAAGGATTGAGCGAGACGACTGTCTCTGCGCGGCGGTATCATAGGTTGGTTTCTGCATTCGTTCCAACAAGCAAACGTCGTCAGCTATTTTCTGAGGCAGAAAACGAAGTATAAATTGTAGAAATTGAACGTACCGATGATCCAACAAGGCCTCACTTTCCAGACTTGTGTTACTCAGACGTCTCCCCAACTTGTAGAACGGAGTAGTGGGATGATTGGCCGCTAATGGGGCCGTAGTCTCGGTGTCGGGACCTGGAACAGAAGCAGCCCCAGCGTGAGGTTCTTCTGCAGCTAGAAATGACTGGCGGCGGGTACGGCGCTTGCGATTGCGGTTTTTCCTCCGCTTGGCTGATTTGCTGGTGCCAGATTTGCTGTCTGAGCGGGACTCCTGCGTTGTCTCCGGGGCCATCGTGCCAGGTCTCGCAGGGCCAGCTGTACTGGCGGAGTGACCGTTGTGCTGGGAGCGCCTGCCAGAGATAGACGATGGCTGTGGTGGAGGCATGTCGGAGGCCGTGCTGATCAAAGCTTCACTATGGGTAGTGACTGGCTGACTGGTGGGCAAAAGACGGTCAGGCTTAACCACGACCGGCTCGCCTAGGCCCCTTCAACAATGGCCGCAGAAAACAGGGGGCTACAGCAGAATCAATGGTTATGCGATCCAAACAGATGGAGCAGAAAATGAATTCAGCATTGTAATCAGTAGTGTATATCAAGACCAGGTGCGCCAGGGATCAAGTGCCCAGGTTGTGGAAACAAGAGCAGTTGACAATGACGCGGGTGGCAAGATGCGGTGGAACATGGGGCAAATCAGCAAGTAAGGGTAGACAGACTCCATAAAAAAAATAGTCAGAGATAAGGATCAAGACCCCCTAAATCACGCTAATTGAGGATGGGAATAGAAGGAAAGCAGACAGCCAAGATGGGGTTGAGGAGA